TTTCCCGATATCTGCTAGGTTCACCCACAGATGTCCCTCCGTCACTACCATAGCCGCCATGGACCTGCCACTAGCAGAGGCAGCCTGCTTAGTAGCATGGAGAGCAAGATCCGTGGTGCGGCGCACTCAGCTACCTCATCAGGAGAAAGGCCCTCACCTTTATCCTGGTCTTTCAGCAGGTCAGCCTGATATGCTTGGAGCATCACCATCATGTGCAATGAAGCAACAGCCCGACCTGCTGCTGCTGCGTATGTAGTGACGTCATGGCTGTCGCCGGCCAACGTGTTGTTGGTGTTTTTTCAATGTATGCTTCAGACACGGGTCACGACGAGGCGTTCCCCATAGCGACCCCTAGAGGACGCAGTTCGAAGTTCCCATGAAAGGGAACTTATGATGCTAATGTACATGCATATTTGAACCAGATCTCTGATCTGAACACTTGGAAAGATGCATTTCAGTGTTGACTGATTTATGAAATTGGGTTGTTTTGACCCAGTGGTTGGGTTACTACCCAGAAGGTTGGGTTAAACATTTAACCCAAGCGCTGGGTCAAAACAGCCCAATTGCTGGGTTTGTCCCTATTTTACCCAGCACTGGGTTGTATTTAACCCAGCATTTTTTAGAGTGTAGGTTTGACCTTCAGCTCTTGCATGAGTAAATACAGCCTGTTTAATTGTACGGGTACAAAACGGTCACAAAACATGATTGTTTAATGCACAAGAAACTTTAACATCATAAATGTGGAAAAAGTAATAGAAGAAAGCATGAAGAGATGTTTGAGTTGTGCCTGATTATCAGCACCTGAACAGGAACTAATGAACTTTTGTCTCTGTGCTGCTCGTTAATGCAGATTCTTGATGAGGTAAATATACCTGAGTGTTTGAAGGGTCGACCAATTGCTAGTTTCACTTCTGCTGCATTTAGCATTTATGAAACCGTATTATTTTACCACGCATTATTAACTGAAATAGTAGACAAATGATTAATTAGAAGCAGCAGATTCAGAGAGAATACAGTACCATCATCACTATAAGCTGTTTTGTGCAGCAGTTTCTTCATTTTAGTCTCTAAAAGGTAACACTTTATTTTAAGGACTTATTCTCACTATTATTTAGCATGCATGTTACTAGCATGTTGGCTGTTTATTAGTATTTATATAGCACATATTAATGCCTTATTTTGCATGACCATATTTTAGATCCCTTAAACCTACACCAAACTTAACAACTACCTTACTAACTATTAATAGTTTCACTTCTGCTGCATTTAGCATTTATGAAACCGTATTATTTTACCACGCATTATTAACTGAAATAGTAGACAAATGATTAATTAGAAGCAGCAGATTCAGAGAGAATACAGTACCATCATCACTATAAGCTGTTTTGTGCAGCAGTTTCTTCATTTTAGTCTCTAAAAGGTAACACTTTATTTTAAGGACTTATTCTCACTATTATTTAGCATGCATGTTACTAGCATGTTGGCTGTTTATTAGTATTTATATAGCACATATTAATGCCTTATTTTGCATGACCATATTTTAGATCCCTTAAACCTACACCAAACTTAACAACTACCTTACTAACTATTAATAAGCAGCAAATTAGGAGTTTATTGAGGCAAAAGTTGTATTTAATAGTTAGTTAATAGTGAAAACTGAACCTTAAAAGAAAGTGTAATCCAAAATGGGTAATATATACAGATCTCACTTATATTAAAGGAACCGTTTAGCCAAAGATTTTAATTCTTTCATCATTTACTGACTCTCAAAACTTATAATCGTGAGGAATAAATCTGATTTTAAGGTAAAAAGCTTTTTCTTGCACTGGTCAGTTTTTGAGATTTTGGGCTGTTTTTCTTCCATAACATTAGTTTTTTCAGACTAGTGGGAAAAAGCATCCAAATTTATGGCTGTATATGTCTGTAAAATGAATTATAATACATATTTTTAAAGGCTGTTTTCTCAAAATTCGTTTTTTTTTTTCTCCACTTCAGCTGCACTTACTGTTAACACCAACCTTAACAGCTTTATTCCTCTCTATACTCTGAAGGTTTTTACTGAGGGGTTTGATCATATGTTATTGGCCTGTTTTTAAAAACTTTTAACTATTAAACGTCAACAAAATGAAAGAATATTTTGAACCAGGCTTTTTTCCCAGTGTTTAGATTTATTTTCTGGAAATTCGTGAAAATTAGTACATTTTTAATAAGATAATGCATATAATATATTATTTGCATATTTAAACATCATTTCAGAAAACTTGTAATACAAAATGTAATATCTTATGTACTGTTTCTTTTATGATTGACTGACAAATATACATACATTAAGTTTATTAGTTAGTTTGTTAAAGCTGTGTAATCCAAATGCATGGACATTTTGTATGCAATTCAAATATAGATCTTAAATTTAGGCCTAAATATTTTGAGTGCATAAAGTAAACAGTAAAATAATACAATAACAGTAATAATTCATCTGCAATGCATGCTGGGATTTCCCAAGCCCTACACATTCGCAGCATTGCTCAATATTGAAGTGCTTGTTTGGGGAATTCTGCTGCTCTAACAAGTGTTTTTGTGTCACATTTCTTAGCATTTGTGACTCAAAAGCCCTGTATGCTGGAAAATCTAATCACTTTTTTTTGACAGTGTGCAGAACACATGAGAGACAGATATAGGAGGTTTTCATGCACTGCTGAATTCATCACCTTCAGACAGATAAAGTTCTCTAGAGCTTCAAAACCTCAATGACTGACCCAAAATCATCTGGCAATTCATGCAGGTTGGCAAGTCCGTTTAAACAAACCGAACAAAGATGGCACATTTCACATTAATTATTTGCATACCATTTAATTCAGTCATCAAACAAAACCGTATTTAGTGTTTTACAGTGACACAACAGAACCAACACAACCTTTAACAAGAAACATTGTACTTCTGTAATGATTTTACCCAACAGGAATTGACTGAATAATCAAAAGTGACCTGTATGTTTGCTAAATCAGTGCCTAAATCTTGACTATTGATTAACATCATCCAACAGCACCACGTCATCAGATTTGGAGAAATGTAGCATTCCATCAATGGATGCTCTGCAGTGAATGGGTGCCGTCAGAATGAGAGTCCAAACAGCTGATAAAAACATCACAATAATCCACAAGTAATCCACAGCACTCCAGTCCAGCAGTTAACATCTGGAGAAGACAAAAGCTGAAACAAATCCAGCAAAATACCATAGAGTCCATAATCTATAATAACGCTTCCTCCAGTGAAAAAGTGTTCTGGTGTGAATCAGGAGAGAAATCTGCACAGATCAAGCAGCGTTTAAACAGCTCTAAACAAATATGTGGCTGGATTTTGATGTGAGAGACAACAGGAGATGCACTTTTTCACTGGAGGAAGCGTTATTATGGATTACAGACTCGTATTTTAGTTAAAAACGTCTTAATGCTGGATTTGTTTCAGCTTTTGTCTTCTCCAGATGTTAACTGATGGACTGGAGTGCTGTGGATTACTTGTGGATTATTGTGATGTTTTTATCAGCTGTTTGGACTCTCATTCTGACGGCACCCATTCACTGCAGAGCATCCATTGCTGAGGCACTGATGCAATGCTGCATTTCTACAAATCTGATGAAGAAACAAACTCATCCTGATCTCGGATGATCTGAGTGGAATGAGTGCAAATTTTCAGTTTTGGATAAGCTATTCCTTTAATATTGTGAATGCCGTTATTCATCTAAACTCAGTTCATGTTTTGTTCTCATCTGATAGTGTCAATGCAGTGAAATTGATTAATATTACTAAACAGTCAAACCCTTTAAAAATACTAATATTATCCTCTGAGCTGCTGAAACCCTCATGAATGACACCAGGAAAATATTAATACAAATATGTAATCATCCAGAAATTCTCATTCCTTCACTACAACAGACCTTGTGTGCATGATGGATTTTTCTAAATCGAATTAATTCTGCCTAGTTGATAATTTCAGACATGAAAACAAAGACAAACGACTTTAATTTGACACCCAGGATGAACAAATCTCTCTAAACTCTTTAATCTCAGTGTTTCAGGTGCATCTGTCGTCCTCATGCATGATGATTGAGAGTTTGTTCGTCACTGAAATCTCAATGAAAGCGTGTGGAAGCTATGATGCATGCTTCATATGAGGTGGATTTATGTGTGTTTCAGCACATCTTCTGTCCTCTAGTCGGAGGTGTGGCGGCTGAAGGAGGTGAAGGTTTCTCTCAGGGTTTAACGGAGGTTAAGGTCAGTGTTAGGGTCGTTCTGCTGATCTCTCTAACTAGCCCTCAGTCTGTGGGACATTAAAGCTTTAAACACCTTGAAGAGAAAACATTTGTATGTATGTATAAACATGCTTTTTTTTTCTTCTTGTGCTGGTATAAGTAAAGGAATAATTCACTCAAAAATGAGAACAAACCACAACACTTTACAATAAGGTCTCATTTGTTATCATTAGTTAATGCACTAAATAACATGAACTTGCAATGAGCAATATATTTCCATGGCATTTTTACCTTTGTAAATAAATAAATAAATATTAAAGAAAATGTAGTTAACAATAATAACTAAATAAACAAACACAATCTTAATTCACAGCTGTTATATGAATTTAAAACCCTAACAAATGTTAACAAATTGTACCTTTATTGTACAGTGTTAACAAACAACTAATCAATCAAATAAATAAATAATTTAATAATAATATATACAATTATTTAATAAGAAATGCATTTCTTAGTTATAATAAATAAAGAAAAGTTATTTAATAATAATAATAAATAAATACAATTTCTGTCTTATCTTAACTCACAACTATTATATGACTTTAAAAGATTAAAAAATGATTGTAAAACAAGCATAAATAAATATATTAATTAATGATAAAGAAAGATTTTATTTAATGACAATAAAAAAAAGTAAAATTTCTATATTATCGTAACTCACAGCTGTTATATAACTTTAAAACACTAACAAATGAGACCTTATTGTAAAGTGTTACCAACCAACCAAACAAATTCATACATAAATGTTTTTAATAATAATAAATCAATATCTTAACCCACAGCTATTATCCTGCAGGTCTGCAGCGAGCAGCTCTGGCAGCGTTCGGCCAGGAGATCACACACTTACAGAGCAGAGGACAAATGGTCCTTCCAGCATGGATCCCTTTGAGATGGACTGAAAGTGAGTCTGTGCATTCATATTTAACCTCAGTTTCCATCCAATACTCCAGCAAAAAATCCACAGTTTGGAGTCAGTAAAAAGTTTTTAAATGGTGAGCATAAAAAATCTCTTCTGCTCACCAAGGCTGCATTTATTTGATCAAAAATACAGTAAACATTGTAAAATATTATTATTTAAAACTGCTGTTTTCTATGTGAATATATAATAAAATGTAATTTATTTCTGTGATCAAAGCTGAATTTTCAGCATCCAGTCTTCAGTGTCACATGATCTTTCAGAAATCATTCTAATATTCTGATTTGCTGCTCAAGAAACATTTCTGATTATTATCAATGTTGAAAACAGTTGTGCTGCATCATATTTTTGTGGAACCGTGATGCGTTTTATTTTTCAGGATTCTTTGATGAATAGAAAGTTCAAAAGAACAGCATTTATTTGACATAGAAAACTTCTGTAACATTATAAATGTCTTTACAGTCACTTTTGATCACTTTTTATGATGAATAAAATATTATTTTCTTTCAAATAAAAAAGTAAGAAAACCGAGTATAAAAAATAAACACCGACAATGATCCAAAAAGCATCTTCAGATTCAATGATGCAAGAAAATCTGACTGTCACATGATTAATGACACTCGTTTACTTACATTTGATCACTCACATAGAAACAGTGCAGAATCTGAAATATTTATTCTTAATTTTGTATATATATATATATATATATATATATATATATAGTATTTTTAATCAAATAAATGCAACCTTGGTGAGCAGAAGAGACCTCTTTCTAAAATATTGAAATTTTGAATGGTACTGTACACACACACACACATATACATATATATATACTGTATATGTATATACAGTATATATATAAAATCATCAAAGTCTGATGCTGTTATTCTGAAATTCTAAATAAATAAACAAATAAATATTTGACATACACTGAGGATAAATAATAATTTATTTATATAATTGTCAGATTTTATTCCTGATCTCCAGTATGGTCCTGAAACACATCTGAGACGATCATAAAACATAAGAGAAGAGCCTGTAACAGCAGGCTCACGGCTTCAATTCCCAAAGCAGAGGCTGACTGTAGATGTGAATGTTGTGTCAGATGATTTTTGGCTTGTTGAGCCGCTCTCAGGGACACACCGCTGTTTAATATTCCCTCTTGATAAATCAATAGAGCTAAAAGTGTTCAGATCAGAGAACGGTGATCCTCTGCCTTAAGCAGATATTTGAGGTCAAAAGGGTAAATTGGTCAATTTTTCAGAATTAAAAAATCAAATGTGCAGCTAAATATGCAAAAATAATAATAATCAACATGAAAATATTTCTGCTTTTTGTTTCTGCATGTACAATTCAGTCTAAACAGTTACATTTTACAATGTAATTGCTAAAAACATTCATAAGAGCATTATGAATATTTATGCATTTATGTTATATATAAATATTATAGAAAACCATTCCACTGCTTTCTACTTTAAAGAATACTGTTAATAATAAAATAAAATAAACATAAATAATAATGTAATACTAGGCTTATACTACTGTAATTAAATAATATTTGAACAACTAAACATAATTATCACGTGTTATTTAGTATATATTTTGATTCTCTATAATTGTTCTAATATATTTATGCATTTATGTTATATATAAATATTATAGAAAACCATTCCACTGCTTTCTACTTTAAAGAATACTGTTAATAATAAAATAAAATAAACATAAATAATAATGTAATACTAGGCTTATACTACTGTAATTAAATAATATTTGAACTAAACATAATTGTCACGTGTTATTTAGTATATATTTTGATTCTCTATAATTGTTCTAATTGTAATTCATGCAGCAATGCTTATTAATATGAAAATTATACATAAGTTGTGTATTATGAATAATAATTCTCCACACCTAGCTGATAGTAAATTATAAATTGTGATACAATCAATAACCCGGAGAAAACAGACTGAACAGAGAGGAGACACAAACACATTATACAGAAGAAAGCCTCAATTTAAGTAACTTGCATGTAATTACTTTGTAACTTGTGCATCTTAATCTTGAGACAAATATCTTTTGCAAGCAGCTATGTGTCCGTCTCTAGATAATAAGCTAAAATGGGTTGTGTTCATGTGTCCTCAGGTCAGCGGCTCTGTGATTAATGCTGCGTTCACTCCATGTCATAATCGCTGTAATTACTAGATGACTATCTGGACAGAGATGTTCACTTTTTCAGACTTGGAGTTATGTGTTTCTATGGCAACACTATTAACGCCAAATGTAATTTGTGTAATCAGTAGACAAAACCACAATACAGCAAATAACATAATGCAAATGCAAGTTATTTAGTGGGACATTGTTTACGAAACAGAAATAGGAAATAATTGCTTGACATTTTACTGCAAAAAAAAAACAAATAACTGTTTGCATCAGTCTTTTTTGAGTTATGACAACTGCTAATGAAGTTGGAAATTGTTCAGCCAACAAACTTCATAGCTTTAACTATTTTTGTGGCTCTGGAACCAATTAATCTTATCTTTTTCAGCTGCTTTGGCACGATCTGTATTGTATAAAGCGCTATACAAAATAAACGTGACTTGACAAATCTCATCAAAATAATGCTCGCAACTTAAAAAGTTTAATGAAATCAATCAATTAAAATGTTATGACTTGCAACCATGTATTTCTTTAAATTGGGGTAACAGGTCCCCTGAAATAGTTTTTAATGTGTGCTGAAGTTTTAAACATTTTACAAGCCAGAGTTCTCAGAATATTATGCGTTCTACAAGGATGCAGATGCTTTTTTCCTGTAATTTCGTCAGTTGAAGTTAAGTATTTAAAACAATGAAACTCAGAATTCTAGATAAGTTGCAGTGTTGAAAGGGGCGTGTCTATTTGAAACACTGATCTATGATGTAGATATAATGTAATACACTCTAAAAAAATGCTGGGTTGTTTCAACCCAAATTAAATATGGACTAACCCAACTGTTGGGTTAAATTTTTCAATTAAATTTTTAACCCATATATAATATAATAAAGTAGGTCTGTAATCTACATGTAGAGATCAGTGAGCATAAAGCAAGTCTACAGTGAATGGAGAATGTGAACCACTCAACTTTGCAGGTTTGCTTTTTGTAAGAAAAACATAAATTTCACAGTATAATCATTTTGTTTTCATTGGTCTCTTTCCGTGTTATGTTTCCATTAAAAATGCATGAAATTTGAAAGCTTCCAGCATTAAAACAAGCCGGTTTATACCGCAGGTTCTGAAACACGTGGGCAGGAACGCCATGGTTACCCACGATGTTTCAGTGGAAATGGCGGGAAACCTGATTGGCCAGCGGGACTTCCTAAACGTCAGATATTCGTCCAAGAGCGAGTCACGTGTTTATTTCGGCGGAGCCGCAACGTGGATGGAGTCTCTGCCGCCTCAGCCCGGGTTTGTCAGGTAGAATAACGCCTGAGCTTCTGTTTCATTCACACCGAGCGCAAGTTTGAGATTTTATGTGAACTGAACACCGACTAAAATTTGGTTCTGCTTGTTACTCCAAGCTCTTATGTGCCTTCGGAAGACTTTGCATACAGCGCTCGAGCCGTATGCACCGCCGCTGAGGCGCTTTTCGCGGGTTTTTGTAACAGTATAAATCACCATCCACTTTATGGAACACAGAAACTTAATTAATACAGGTTTGCATGGATGGGGTTGAATAACTGATGACAGTTTTACTTTTTGGGGTGAATTATTACTTTCATGTACATTTTAATTATACGTTACTATAACTGGACAAAGTATTGGAGTAAATGTAATTAATTACTGTACTTGAGTATCTTTTTGGATACTCTGTAGTTTTACTGCGTATCAAAGATATTTGCAACTTTTACTCTCTACTTCACTACAATTTTGAATAAGTATCTGTACTCTTTACTCCACTACATTTGTAAAGAGTGTTGCAATTACACATTACATTGTGCATGGCACGTAACAGTTTATTTCTGCTACAAAACAAGTGATATCGCAACTACAGGGCACTGAAAGTACTATATCTCATGCATTTTGCCCTTACTCACCCAAACTTGTCAACAATGCTGCTTTACGTGAATGCAAGTTCCTTAGCAATGAGGCCAAAACCAGCTCATCCAGTGCAAGAAGATCTTGACTTTTTAATTTTACTTAACATTATTTTTTCACTGTTCTCCTATTCTTATCCTGCACTCTCAGAAAAAAAGGTACAAAAGCTGTCACTGGGGCGGTACCTTTTCAAAAGGTACACTTTTGTACATTTTAGGTACTAATATGTACCTTTAAGGTACCAATATGGAATCTTTAGGTACAAAGGTGTGCCTTTTGAAAAGGTACGCCCCAGTGACAACTTTTGTACCTTTTTTTCTGAGAGTGTGTTATTATTGTAAAAGTTCAATAAACAAATTAGGCGAAAAAAAAAAATTACTTAACATTATTTTATTTATCTGTTATACCGAAGCGACATTTTGTGTTATTTTGAGGTGTTCAGTTTTATTTTGGTTTTTAGAAAATAAACGTGATTGCTCTTCTCACACATCAACTCTTTCTTGTTTTTCACTGGCATGTCTCTTTGGCTCGTGCATCTTTGAGCCTATATTCAGTATGAGTAAAATACTTAAGTTCTGTTCAAATCAGATACTCTAAAAGAGTTTTACTCAAATTGTTTTGGAATTGGAAACTTGTGGAGTAATTTTCACTGTAAGGAATCTGTACTTTTACTCTAGTATGGTTTTCAGCTACTCTTTACACCTCTGAACTGGACATAATCTGAAAGTAGTTTCTCACGGTAAAGCCTGTCTGTAAGTGTGTGTTTGGTGTTTGTTGTGTTCAGAGCTGAAGATGGACCGACCTGCATCATCCTGCAGTCGCTTCAGGACCGTCCCGACCGAAGTCGCTTCATCTGGCTGCTCAACATGGACATCAGGGTACAAAACATGCATGTTTTATGATTTATCAAGATTTTCCTGATTGTGAGGTGACCAGCAGATGAATCGGGTTAGTTATACACTGTAAAAAATTATTTTCAAAGTTGTACATTTTACATAAATACTATTTCAGTGTTTTTGCTTCAAAATAGTATTTCAGTGTTACTTGGTATTATTTGTGAAATGTACTAGCAAGTTTGATTTTAGCAAATGGCTGCAATATAACAAAGAGTGAAAAATTTAAGGGGGTCTGAATACTTTCCATACCCACTGTAAATACTATTTCAGTGTTTTTGCTTCAAAATTGTATTTCAGTGTTACTTGGTATTATTTGTGAAATGTTTTCACTGGCATGTCTCTTTGGCTCGTGCATCTTTGAGCCTATATTCAGTATGAGTAAAATACTTAAGTTCTGTTCAAATCAGATACTCTAAAAGAGTTTTACTCAAATTGTTTTGGAATTGGAAACTTGTGGAGTAATTTTCACTGTAAGGAATCTGTACTTTTACTCTAGTATGGTTTTCAGCTACTCTTTACACCTCTGAACTGGACATAATCTGAAAGTAGTTTCTCACGGTAAAGCCTGTCTGTAAGTGTGTGTTTGGTGTTTGTTGTGTTCAGAGCTGAAGATGGACCGACCTGCATCATCCTGCAGTCGCTTCAGGACCGTCCCGACCGAAGTCGCTTCATCTGGCTGCTCAACATGGACATCAGGGTACAAAACATGCATGTTTTATGATTTATCAAGATTTTCCTGATTGTGAGGTGACCAGCAGATGAATCGGGTTAGTTATACACTGTAAAAAATTATTTTCAAAGTTGTACATTTTACATAAATACTATTTCAGTGTTTTTGCTTCAAAATAGTATTTCAGTGTTACTTGGTATTATTTGTGAAATGTACTAGCAAGTTTTGCAGTGCAGAAGATTCCCTGTGATGTATTTCTGCAGTCGCGTGATGAACGTGTCCTTGTGTGTTCAGGGTTGGCTGCCGCAGTCACTAGTGAACAAGGCTCTTCCTCAAGCACAAGTGGACTTCACTAAACACCTGCGGCGCCGGCTGGCTACACAACACCCAGAAAACAAGAGCTGATGAGAGACGCTTATGTCAGACGTCAACACTATAGGAACACAGCCATGCAACATACACCTCAGACGAACAGGATGAAAGTCATGTGGAAGATAGCAAAGTAGCAAATCAACTACTATGAAAATGAGTTGACTATATAAAATGACAATAAAAATATCTTTCACAGGAGTGTTATTTTAGTATCATTTTATTTATATTTTTTAATTTTTTATATTTGTATTTTTTTATTTCTGTTTTCAATTTAATTTTGGTTAAAGTATTAGTCTGTCAGTTCAGTTTTTTTGTCATTTTTATTGTTTTTATTAAATATATCTATAGTTTGTATTAATTTATTTCAGTTTTAGTTTATTTTAGTGCAAGTTAAACTAAATGAAAATGATAAATATAAACACACAATTCTGATTTTATTCTCAAAATTCATCTTGCAAATTTACATCTCGCAATTCTGTTTTTGTTTCTGCCATGGAATAAAAAAACAATTAATTACATTTACATTTAGTCATACTTTGTTTACTTTCTTTTTTTCATTTTTAGTTATTTTAGTACATCGAGCTAAACTAAATGAGAAATGTTGCCTCGGCAAATAGCTGAAAAAAGTTTATTTTATTTCAAGTAACAAATATGCTTTTTTTCTTTCTGATTTTGGTTTTAGTTAACTATGATAATCCTGCTTTACAGTAATTCTGTATATATAATTCATCCACTGCACTGCAGTGATGGAAACAGGAAAAATAGCAGCATACGGGTTTGGGAAAACATGAGGGTGAATAATGACCAAATTATTTTTCGGTGAACTGTTCCTTTGGCCTTCACTTGGGAATCATCCAGGCGTCTTGTTATCATTCAGACTCGTATGTCTGCACTCGCAGTGACAGCATGCAGATGGAGATCGTCTCACAACCTCCGCACGATTCACTGTGGATTCAAGACTTCAAAAGGACAAATGACATTTGAAGAGACTCTAAAGAGGCACTCTCAAGAGTGAACTTTAATCTCTAATAGTCTCTGAAAATCACCAGAACGACTGGAGAACATCAGCAGAGCACAATGACTCCATTAAATCAGCTGAAAAGACTTTAGACATGCCTCAGATCCACAATAGAATGAGCTCTGAACCTATAACATACTCCAGGATCATAGCACTTTATTTTTTAGTGCAACTTAAATGAATCGTTCACTCAGAAACAGAAAGATCTGTCATTATCTATACCTACATGTTGATCAAACTCTAAAAGTATGTTGAATGCAAGAAAAGTAATTTTCACAAAACTGTTTTTCATAAATCTGTCAAGTGTCATGCAGCATTTTTAGATACACTATACATTTTACAAAATATTAAAAATGATTTTATTAAAATGGCTTTATTAAAATACTATTAGAAGCGTAATTTTTAAATAATGCCCTCTGCTCCTTTTTAATAAAATTGTTTTTCATAAATCTGTCAAGTATCATGTAGCATTTTTGGATTAATTATAATTTAAAATATATATATATTTAAAAACAATTTTATTCAAAAATATTACAGATAATTTAATAAGAATGATTTTATTAAAATATTATTTTATTAAAATATTATAAGTATTAAAAATAATTGAAAAATAATTGAAAACAATTATCACTGCTGCTATTTTTCATAAATCTGTCAAGTATCGTAGCGATTTTGGATGAACTATGCATTTTCAATTATTATTAAAAATATATATCTTTTTAAAAGAATTTAAAAATACTGTTAAAAATAATTACAAATTTGCTAAGTAATCATTTTGACTTTCTCAAATAAATATGTGTAACAAATCGAATGAAAGCTCAATGAAAAATGTTTCATTTTGACAACTTTGTACCATTGTACCATCTTGATGTCAAAACAGGTTCAGATCTGCTGCTGCATTAAAACACATGGATTTAATAGTATATGGCTGGATACTCTATTTTTAAAATGCATCATGATTTCATTAATATTTGTTTTATGAAGATGCACAAATCAGACAATGCACTGCAAATGAACATTTTGTCTTTAGTCTATATGGAAACCAGCTTCTGCCACAGAAAAATAAATAAAAAGGTAATTGCAACTTTTTATCTCACAATTATGAGTTTATATCTTGCAATTGAGTTAATATTAATAAAAAAAAATATGAATTGTGAGATATAAACTGAATTGCGAGAAAAAAAAGGCAGAGTTATGAGATAAAAAGTTGTAATTACCTTTTTTATTTATTTAATGGCTTCCATATTAGTCATATTGTTTGCTGATGGAAAATTAGAGAAATATTAATCTTAGATATCAGTTTTGTGTTTCATATCATACTAGACACTGCAAATAAAATATTTTCTTAAGCTTTTTCTCCATTAAAAATGATCCAAGCTGGTTAAACCTGATGTTTCTTGAGAATCTGTTTTGATCGTGCAAATAATAAAAGAAAATCTGAAATAAAAACTACACTTTTCTTTTCAATGTGTATACTTTCATGTATTTCATCATCCTACAACTTAAACATTTAATAAATATTAACACTTAAAGCTCTCATTCATGTATATACAAGTACTATACAATACAGAAATTAGGTTAAACCACATGAGAGACGGCAGACCTGACGCTCTCGCACCTTCTGAAAACCTGCAACTATTTACAATATATACAAAACCAGCCGAAAACATCACGACGGTTTAAGAGCAGACGCAAGCTCAAAAACACACAAAATCAAACCCACAAACTGCAGGCGATGCGTTAGAGGTGGTTGCTGTTGTTTCACAGGTGAGTGACGTCACATTGGTTGAACATCAGGAGCACCACTGCTACACTTGCTTTGTAACACTTCAGTAGTTTTGTGTAGTTCAGCTTCATAAAAATATGAAAATGTACATGAAATACATTAATGGCTATGCACACAATAGATTACTATACTATTATAGAATACACTATAATAGTATAGTAAAATACTATTATAGTATCACACACACACATACACATACTGTATATATATATATAATCAAATAAAAATTAGAAAAGCAAAATTACTAAAATAAAAACTGAAAATGTAAAATGTTGTAATATTTGCATTTTATATATTTTTTAATATATATTTCCAATTAGCTTACGTGTGTGTGTGTGTGTGTGTATAAGCTATTTGAAAATATACATAAATTGATATAAAAAATATAAAAATACATATTTTATTTAAATATTTTATTCATTTTGAATTAGCTTTTATTTTAATATTTTCAGTTTTCATTTTTAGTAATTTTGTTATGTGCTTTACTAATTTGCATGTTTTATTTTTTTTATATTTCTATATAGCTTTAATTTATTTCAATTTTAAATTTAAGCAATATTAGTGCTTCAACTTAAAATTATTTCAGTTAATTGCCAAGACAACATTTCTCCTTATGATTTAACTAAGCTTTTCTTCTAATACTTATTTAACTTTAATAGTTTTAGTTAAATGGTATATCAAAATCGTGTGCTCTGTCACGTACTGCACATTTAGGCAATATTTTCACATTGAATCTCCAAATTAATGTAGAAACAACAAAAATAATCATATACTATAATAATTTTATCAAAAGGATTTGGGGAAATGACTGTTACTGTGTTAATAATTATTTGCAACAGCAGAAATGAATGCGTCATTTTTCTCAGATCATCAGGATATTTTGAAGATGAAACTGTAAGACGGGAAGAACCTCAGACGCGTTGCTCTCCTAAGATATGGACAATACAGACACAGTGTATTAACATACAGCCATCAGTTTCCACATCTCACTGAGAGAAGCTTTTCTCGCCTCTACATTTGTTCCTTTCTCACTTCCTTCCCTTCACTTAATATAATGTTCTACACGAATGCAAGTGAAGTTCATGTCTGGTATAATTTGAAATGTCTCTCATTGACTGGTGCAATGGTCTCAATCTTACAAGAAGTAGACTAAAAGGTACTAAAGATCCTCAGAGTTTAGAGATATGTTGCTTACTGTAGAGGATGTGCTCTTTCATGCAAATCAGCATCTGTGTAAAAGGTGTAAACGCTCCACGTCTAGGCATTGATCACTGCAGATTCCAATTGTTAGTTCCTGTCTCCATTTGGAGGATGTTTGTCTTGGTCTGAGTACTTAAGTGAAAGCTGCGAGAGGACCAGGGCGCTTCTGTATCTTTCTAAAGTCAGGTATTCATCTTTGAGAATTTGATGTCTTGTATTGATTTGATTTGATATCTCTGAATTGACTATATGATTGGCATAATACATGTTTACCTGACTAATAATAAATTGTTACATTTGAATTTATTCTGTTTGCTCTGAAATGACTGACTCTAGTAGATCATGTTGCATCCTTGTTACTGCATTTCTGAAGTGTACTTAGATTGTAAAAAGGGAACTTCCATTTAAATTTGGGTGGGCCTTACCTCTGTTTCTTGTAATATTACTCTAGCTAAGTGTACATGGGAAACCATGGCATGACCAAACCAAAACTATTATCAGAGAAAGTAATGTTGTTCGGCTTTTATCTATAATAGTGCTCATGACCTCTGACTAGGGATAATTGCTTTATTCAAGTGACTAAATAAAGTACTTTTAGAATGAGCAAGCATGGAGCGGCCATCTAATTGTATTAGTCAATTAGCTCTGTGTAATAATCAGGACTGGCGAGTATGTGACCGTGAGATCCACGTAAAAAACGTCCGGCGCGAGACTCTCTGAGCGACATGAGAATCTGGAGCACAATCGAGCACAAAATAGAAGTTAACTAGACTAGTCAGATGTCAGAAGAATAAAAATTAGAAATTGATATATCAACCCAAATTCGAGGTCATAATAAAATGGAGCCAGATTCGAATTTAACTTAAATTAAAAAGACCGAACACGCAGGAAACCTTCAGCCACCATTGGATACCTTACGAAACTCTGCTAAAGTTGGTCAGTCACAAAACTACATCAGAGTTACAAAGCAGCTAGACTCAAAATAACACTGCTATTAAACTATATGAGCGGATAACGACGTGCTACAGCCACAAACACACACGCTAAAGAGTGAAGACGCGCGCGTCTAGTAGTCCTAAAGACACAAAACAACATAGATTGAGCCACTGCATTTCAAGAAC